CAAAATACAAGTTAGAAGAGCAGATAATTTATAAGAACTTTTGAAATTGATGCAGAAACAGTAAAGAAGAAAATTTCCATAACGAATTGGAGACCAAAACCAGGAAAGAGGCTCTCTGTGACTTTAGTAGAAGAATCGACTCGTTAACTCAGTTTGAATCGAACATAATTTCAACTTCCACTATAAAAGTCAGTTAATAGCATTTCAATGTTAGATAACATTTCTGATTAGCCTAAGTTAACGTTTATGTAGAATTACAGAATTGTTATTGAAGTGGATGATATTCTCTAAATCAAAATTAGCTGTTTGAAAGATGAAATTAATACATGTATTTATATCTACAATTTTCACGTTGGACTCGAACATTAATGATTATAATTTTCACGCCACTAATGATCAATAAATGTGTACTTACGAAGGAACTACTCCAGCTGCAACTCGTCGTTTGAGCTCATAAGAAGATTTCGATAGCACTAGAAAAAGCCCTAAAGGATTCCTTTCCATGAACTTTTGAAACCAAGTCATGATCGTTGTACTTAATTTTCAACCCATTATTAGGTATTTAATGAAAAGTCAAATAACCGAATTTCGACCTGAAATTGTGCTCGTAGATAGATTTAATGGCTCTTAGAATGTCCTTAAAGTTTGAACCGAAAAGAATGTTCCTTTATTGAGTTATTGAATTTCCAAGTAAACTCGATTTTTATGACATATCCATAACAAATGACTATTGTTCGGATATTCAATGTCTCAGCCAATGAACATCCTTTTTCGGTTAAAATTTTCAGAATATTCTAAGGATCATTAGACTTATCTACAGGCAAAATTTTGGATTAAAACTTCGGTATTTTGTTTTTCGCTAAATATCTAAAAACAAGTCGAAAATTCAGTAGAACAGTCATAACTCATCTCTAATGGTCCATAAGAACTAATCGTTTAGAGATTTTTCTAGTCTTATTTAGATCTCCTAGTGGACCCAATATAAGCTTGTACGAGGGAATTACAGTTGAGATAGTTCCATCGTTAGAAAACTTGATGAATTAAATAACGAAGCGGATAACAACTCATTGTTATCAATGCTCTGATACTAGATAAGTTTTTTTCATGCAAAATAGTAGCTATAAAAGCTTTGTAATGATGATCGATTTTGTTTAGTACAAACTTACATGAGAGGTGATTCGCCTGCAGGTCTTGGCTTAATTGGGTCAGTTGGGGTTAATCGTTGTCGAGCATCTCGTACCGCCATATTAACGTCATTACCAGAACGTGATGCTTGCGAAAGAGTTGTCGAAGCACCAGATGTTTTTACTTGTGTACCAGCACCTGTTGTTGCTGCAGTACGACGAATGCAAGAAAATCGTGTAATAATAGATCGAGAATTACGAAATAGACTTGCCATTGAGAATTTTAAAAAAAAAGCGAAAAGAATCTAGAACAAAGTAACAAATAATCTACTTATGTTTTAATACCCATTTAATTTTGAAAGACAACAGAAAATTTTTTTTCTTAACACAACAAAAATTCTGACTATAGAGAAGAAAAGGAAAGAGATCTAAAACAATCGATATATAATAAACCGGTTGTTAACATCTGAACATTTAACTATTGGTTTTTTTTTCGAATTTAAAGTCTTTTTTGATTATTACTATTATTTAAATTAAATGTAGAAAATAATAATTGCATTAGTTGACTATGACGATCTTGTGATGCTTCATCACTATCATTGATACGATGTCGAAGACGACGTAATTCGTTACTAATCATTTCAAATAGATTACGAATTAAATTTTCATTTCCTATTTGACTTTGATCAGTTATTGAAGGTGTTATTAAACATGAGTTTATTTCTAAATTATTTGATGGACATATTGTTAATAATGATTGTTCTTCAAACATTGTCTTTAAAAAATAGAAAAAAAGACAAACCAAAAAGATTTTTCATGAAATAAATATTTATTTTCTTACCTGTACACCCATATGAACAACTCGATTAGATGATAATGATTTTATCCGTTCCTGCCGAAGAAGAATTGAATAATCAATTTTAATTTGTATACCATACGAATCTTTTAATATTTCTAAAATTTTTATCCATATATAATTTGATTCAGCTATTTTCCAAAATGTAGCTAATTCATCATGTGTCATTGTTTCATTTGTTAAACGAACACGTATACCAAGCCATGGAAGTGTACGAACAGATTCTGGACATGGATATATATCAGAAAACATTACTGTACTTTCATTACCAAAGTCAACAAAAAAAACAATTGCTTGTTGTCGTTGTAAACAAATTGATTTAACCCATGCACGATACCATTTGCCATCATCAGCATAACGAGCCACAACAAGACTAACGAAAAAAAAAAAGTAAAAAGAATTGGATGATATAAATTGAAACTAAGTAATATACGTTTTAATGCGTGGCATTTCACATGTATAACGATCTGCAATATTTGTTTCTTGTAATTGATTCATAGCTTGATCAATAGCAACTGTATTTTCATTAACAAGTAATACATAAAATGAATCATCTTTACCACTAAATGAACTAAGTAATGCTTTTAATTCATCACCAACAGTTAATGGAAGTTCATGTCGAAATTGTTCAATTGATTCTTCTTCTGGTGTCATTAATGTCTGAAAACGAAAAAAAAAAAGATTTTAGTGAAAACTTCGTCATAATATATGAATTATAAATATGCTCTGTATTTAATAGTCTTTCCATTGAGATTGAGAGAATCGATCGTTGTCCAAAGTAAAGACTAGAATTTTATTCAAAAATAATTTGAAGTGTTTTTTTTTGAATGACAAATTTGAGTTCATTCAAATAGATTTTCTTCAAAGCGTTTTAATTCTAAGTGTTAAAGCTTAGAGTTAACCATCTTCATTTGTTTTTGATCTGAAAAGATCTCTTTTACATTTTCGATCAATTTTTTCTACTTAGAAACATAATACTCTTATGTTTATAACTAAGAATCAACTAGATAGCCTTATATGAAAATAACTTACATTCGGTACAAGTAATTGTCTTAATTGATCATTAATAATTCTTCCATTAACCGATATAAGAACTTTACCTCCAGTTGTACTATCATAACCATTAACAGTAATATCATATTCATTTTCACTTAATAAAACCATACATTGAGCAATAACATCGGGCGGTGTTAAATCATTCGTATCAGGTACACCATCAAGATGACATATTATAGAACAAGCTGGTTCAGCATAAAATTCATTTGGCAAACGACGAATATATTCTGGTCCAATTTGCATTGGAATTACCATACCCCAATCCAAATAAACAACTGTAGCTGTTGAAAAATCTGGTGATATTTGTAATATACGACAACGAAACCAACGACCTTCATGATAACATGCACATAAACGATTGACTTGAGCCCTAATAAATAATACACTTAAAACTATTTGAAAAAATATGAAAACACAAACTATACTTAAAAGGATGAGTTGGTGCATGGTCAGTTTGAAGTTCAGGATGTGCTGCCATATCACGAAGAAGACGACAAGCTGTATTAAAATCTTCATGTAACATAAGCTAAACAATTTTAAATTCAGTTTTTCTTTTCTTTTCTTTTTGAAGAAAAAAAAAAAGAAACCCAAACTTACATGAACTATAGATGGACTTTGTGGATGAGAAATATGCACTTTATTTAATTGTTGTCCACGTTCTAATGCTTTATGTTGTGGTATATCCATTAAAACTGGTGCAGATTTAACTGTCGATTGTTTTTCAAGAATATTTTGTATAGAATTAATCGGTTGAAAAGCTGATGATGATGATGTTATTTGTTGTTGCTGTTGTTCATTTGTTTTCAATACTGAATTATTATAAAGATTACTATAATTATTACTAGTTGCTTTTTTTATTGATGAATTTGATGAGAAAAAAGCTGATATAGATCGTGTTGGACCAGCTGGTGCAATAATTGCTGTTGGACGTGTTGAAATACCAGCAGGAGGAATTGTTGTTAATAAAGCTGGTGGAGTTGATTGTTCAATTATTTCAGTTAGTGGTTGAGTTTCTTTTCAAATAAAAGCAATAATGATTATTTAATTTTTTATATAAAAGAATAAACTTACCAACATGATTATGACGAATGAAATCATCAGAATCAACATGACCAACATCAGGTTTAGGAAACCATTGACGTGATTGTTTATCTTGAGAATTATTTTCATTTTGTTTTTGTTCATTTAAACTATTATTATGATTATCATCATTTGTTGTATTTAACTGTGGTAAATCAGCTTTTTGTTTACTTATATTTAAATTCGTTTTGATTTTTTTTCGACGTGTTACTGATGGACGGAGATTACGAATAGCTAATTCAAAGTCACTATTAATTCCTATTGATGAATAAATAGATGAATGTTTTATATCATGATTATCATCTTCTTTATCATCGGAATTTGAATTTGAAAGAGATAAATTATCATCATCGTCATCATCATTTTGAGTATGATGATTATGTGTATAATGATGACCAATACGAATGCCACCACGAAAGCCAACAGATGGATGTTGCATATTCACCTGAAACTAGATATATTTTATTTCATTTCGAATTTTAAATAAGAATATTTACACATGATTATGTTTACGAAAAAAAAACAAACGTATAAGCGATATGAACATATTAATCATAGATGTTAAAAGTTAGGAAAAATTAATTTTAATATTAATTTTTAGAAGATTATCCTTGGAAGAAATTATTCGAAAACAGAGTATAATGATCGTTAAATATCAGAAGAAAATTTCGATTTTCTTTAGTTTGTCGATTAACATAATCTGCTATATTTTATTATTCGATCTGTCCAGTAACGATTACTTTCCATGAGTAAACATAACGGCTAACTCTCTCGAAAATGGGTACCTACAAAAATTGTGAACACCGACAGATCCCTCCAAAGCTGCAAAAACAGATAGAGTTCGAAATAAATATCATACAGATATCCACAAACACCCATTTTAGGTTACTCGTTTTATTTTCAACTGAGATATAGCCTTTTGATATGGATACGGACACCTATATTTACGCTGACTTTTATTTATACAAAATATTTTACAATTAAATATCAAGGTAGCTAAAGATAACTTTCGGTACATGCAAAAACTGTAGAATACACGGACACCCATGATTACCTCGGTTTTAATTGTAAAAGATAATCATAGTTATCTTTATGTTTATTTGTAAAACACCTTGTATAATTATAAACCAAAATAACTATGGATGTCCGCGTCTACAAAAAGGCTATAATCCAGTTGAAAACAAAAAGCATAGCCTAGAATGAATGCCTGTGAGTACTCGTATAATATTTGTTTCGAACTTTACCGTTTTTTGTAGCTTTGGTGGTGTCTGTAGATGTTCACAGTTTTTATAGGTACTTCTTGAATATAAAAATTTCTATGTAAGTTTGTGTTCATATATGTTAATTGATATATCTGAGCTATTTAGAATAATGATAATACAGAGAGACGGTTGCCTACTCCAGCGAAAAAAACATATTACTCAATTCCTCTAGAATCATAATGTTATAATCAAAACAAGAAGGAATTTTTTTTTCTCGATCAACTTTTTTGTGACTTAAAATTAACGAGTAGTGAAAATTCGAAGGTGAAAAACGTCTAAATAATTGTTCATAAAAAGATTAAAAAAAAACAATGAAGATTTTGTTGAAAAAAATTTTATTTTTAAAATCACCATGAGTTTAATCTAAATAAGATGTATTTCGGAAAGTGCATATATGCAAAACTTCAAAATAAATAAGATTGCTTTTCTTGTTATCAATGTTCCAAAAAATAAACCAATTTAACTATTAAAATCACTAATTTGTTGATTTGATATTGTTCAATACATTTTGAACATCTTGAAATACCTAAAATTTCAATAATTTTTTTTGTTTTTGTTTAATGAGAAAAAAATAAATAATAGATAGCACCTTATCAACATCATTTGAAGCATCAATACGTTTAACTAAGTTATCTTTTTCATACATTTGAATAACCGGTCGAGTTGATTCATTATATGTAATAATTCTACAAATTAAAAACAAAAAAAAATGAATATTCTGAAATAATTATGATTTTATAGAAATATTTTTTACCGTTTTTTTAAACTTTCTTCATTATCATCAGTTCGTCCACTTGCTTTTCCACGTTCAAGACATCGAGCCACACATGTCTTTTTTAAAAATATAATGAATTAAGATTATTAAATAAAATACAATTCACTTTTTCATCACAATCAAAGAATAGTACACATTGAATATTAACTTTTCCATCCATTGCTTTTTGCCATCCATCAATATTATCTTTATTTCTTGGAAAACCATCAATTAAAAAGTTTTCTTTGCCACTATTTTTCATTGCCT